CAGCTCGCAGGGACAATGGAAAGCGGTCTGAGTACAGGCAAGGTGTTTATTACGACCTTCGGTTGTAGATCTCTAACCACTCAGAATACACTTCAGAAAAACTCAAGACAGGGAAGGGTGTTACGTCTCAGGCTTTGAAATAAAAGAGAGCAATGCCAAGGTGTAAAGGACTTGGCGTCTCTTCAGTAAAGGGCAGGGCAATTAGACTAAGCCACCGTGTTTCTGCCCCACAAAGCCAGCAACTGGAAAGAACACATTTATAAAAGGCCCCAGTGCTCTTAAACCATTCGACAATCACTTTGCCCAGATCAGAAAATAAAACACAAACTCCTGAGGCAGAACACTGTGCCCATTCTGTGTTTAGTCAGTCACCTATGTGAAGAGGTCAGTACATGTCCACACTTGTAGACATCCAACACCATACTAAAACAACACACAGGCCAGTGCACACACGTGTGTATCTATACACACATACATGTACACATGTTTCTGACTTGCAGGTTTGCAGGGTTCTGGTTTAAAATACTAGAATATTTGCAAAGCAACTTTGTATTCACCTCTCAAAGACATTTACTAAGAACAGACATGTTCCCAGATGTAGCTAGGACTAAAACTGGTATTTATTCATCTTTGCAAACAGGTATAACGTTTTTAAGTCATGGCGCTCTCCTCTGCATTCTTTCCAAAACGTATTTTATCTGCCTTTTACAAAGAAGGCCAAGAACACGCAAGGAAATGACTGGTGGCAAATGTACTTTTTTTTCTTTTCTTTTCTTTTTTTTTGAGACAGGGTTTCTCTGTGTGTAGCCTTGGCTGTCCTGGAACTCACTCTCTAGGTCAGGCTGGTCTCCAACTCCTATAGATCTGCCTGCCTCTGCCTCCCTATTTAGTCTGCTGGGACTAAAGGTGTGCACCCAGCACCCAGCAAACACATTCTTACTAGCAGAGTTAGCTGTAAGTTCACATGGAGGGTGATGGCGGGGCTGGAGGCATCTGAGGCAGGACCGAAGGGGCTTGGCATGATTCTGATGAAGAAAAGCATCAATTATTGTTTGTTCAAGTGACAGTAAATCTTCGAGTTAAAAGGTGGGGAAGTCATCTTCAAAATAACCTGACATAATTTCTTACAGATTTTTCCCTGAAATAAATCACTCCTAGATAGAAAGCTGTGAAATCCAGAAGCTTCCGCCTGCTCTCTGTGTCCCATGTGTGAATGCCATCTGCCCAGCTGGGCCTCCGGAAAGATCACAGCATCAGTCACTAGGCTGTTTGTCCAATGCCACGCTGCCACAAGGGGCTGTGAACAATGGCCTCAGATAGTGCACGTTTAGAGTGGTTGTGTCTAATGTTCTGGCTGAAAACAGCTCAGCCCAGAACATGAGGAGTTGGGGGACCGCTGAGCCTAATTGAATGTCTGCAAAAATTTAATCTTCAAAGCCCCTCGGCTCTGGCTTCATCTTGGACTGAAATCATCAAGGGTTCCTTCAGCAGTTTGCTAGGTAAGTGCTGGTGCTCACACACTTGGATGAGTTTTTAATCAGGAATGAGACTGAAGAACTGTTCATCTCACTTGGCTGCAAGAGCTGAGAAATCAGATCATGAGATTGCAGGGACTACACACATTCTGAAATAGCATGCTGGCTTCAGCGCGCTCCTCAGCACTTGTCTCTGAAAAGCAACAGTAACTAGCCTTTGTTAAAGGGACGCCATCCATCAGTCCCTTTGCGTGAACTGTTTTATTTAATACTCCACCCAGGTTCACAGGTGGCATTGCCATCTCCTTTGTACTAAGAAGGAAAGAGAGAAGAAAGTTGGTACCCTAGCCTAAGCATCTTGATTCCTGACTGGACACGGTAGAGAGTTACCCCACCTCCACCCCATCCTCCCATTCTACAAGGCTATTCTGGCCCCTAGACATTTCAAGGAAGTCTTCATTGAGTTTTGAACCTACACACCCTTCAACACCACACCCTTCAACACACAAAATGAAGGTGCCCCCCAATCTACACAAATGTGTGCATGTGCACACTGTGTGGAAGGCTGGATCATTGCCCAGCCCACACATGCCCATGGCTTCTGATCTCTCTTGTTAAAGAACCTGTAACCAGGACACTTTACATATAAAACTAAGGTAGAAATCCTAGCTTGGGGTGGGGTATAGCAGAATTTCCAAGTGTTTCCAAGATAACCACAGGCCTCGTAAGAGGGAGATGGGAGTCTCATTTAGAAGGTGTGACAACCGAGAGACAGGGCGAGAACAACAAGAGAGACTGATGGGAAGGTCTCCGAGAACTGGCTTTGAAGACAGTGGTCTGCAGTGGCGTGAACGAGAACAGTCCCTATAGGAAAGACCTCTTAATAGGAGAGGTGAGAATTCATCAAACAGTGTGGCCATTCGTTTTAAACTAATTTATAAGACTAACAAATGCCTTTCATTTGATCCGACCAGTTCAACAGAAGCACCATATATGAGCTGCCCATGCATGCTTCCGCATTGCCAGGGCACAAATTAAAAAAAAAAAAATCACACCACCAAACTAGGGCATGTGGAGCATTTTTTTTAATGTTTCCATGATTGTTTTGTCTGTCTGTGTGTCTGTGACCATGTGTGTGTGCCCGGTGCCCTCAGAGGCTTGAACAGAGCTTTGGATTTCCTGGAGTTAAAGACGGTTGTGAGCTGTTATGTGAGTGCTGGAATCGAACCTGGGTCCTCTGGGAGAGTAGCCGGTGCTCTTAACTGCTGAAACATCTCTCCAGCCCCTACATTCCTTTATTTTTAATGTGTGTTGTAGGCATAACTATGTCCATGTATGTTTGCATGTGTGTGAACCACCTGGGTTTTCTAGAAAAAGGAAAGATGGGAGAGAGGGAGGGAGGGAGGGAGGGNTCTCTTTATGTCAGAGGAGAGAAGGGAGGGAGGGAGGGAGGGAGGGAGGGAGGGAGGGAGGGAGGGAGATGGAGGAAAGCTGAACTAGGGCAGTGAGGGGGAGTGGGCAGGGAGAACAGATGATTAATTTTAGAGCGAGCAGCTTGGAAGACACTAACACACTCACCTTCTGAGAGCAGGACCCCCATGCTCCTCCTTCCTTTGAGAGCATTCAGTATTGATCTGTTGTGTCAAACTGGGACGCTGTCACAAAAACTATGTTGATTTAATTGTTCTGCTTGGGGGCCCTCGTGCACCCATGAAATTGGTTAAGCAGCAGTTGGGCATTGACGGTTCACAGGAGAACAGCCTACAGATCCTGAGACCCATAACTTATGCCAAAGTGTGTAAGGTTTCCTTCAATCTTATGTCGAAAACATTTGCTAAAAATTACACTGACCACACTTATCTTAGTTATTTGTTATCCAGTTTAGACAGTGGAACTAAAGCAGGAGGCGTTTGGATTAGTAAATACTTGATTCTAACGGGGCGCGTGCATCTGCACGTAGCTGTAGGTGCTGCGCCTCTGCTTCCAGCCATGTTTGTTTTGAGCAGAGTCTCTCACCCAGGAGTCCAGGCTGCCTGGCCAGGGAGCCCGACAGGCCCTCTGCACCCCAGCTCTGAGAGTGCACATGCTTGCCTCGCGCCCAGTTTCTCACCCTGGTGCTGGGAGCTGAACTCGGGTGCTGGCACAAGGGTGGCAAGAACAACAGCAACAGAACCAGGTCACCAGCCCCTCTGAGGCAGGGTTTGGACAGAGCCAGGCCTCCAGCCCCTCTGAGGCAGGGTTTGGACAGAGCCAGGCCTCCAGCCCCTCTGAGGCAGGGTTTGGACAGAGCCAGGCCTCCAGCCTCCTCTGAGGTAGAGTTTGGACAGAGCCAGGCTTCCAGCCCCTCTGATACAGGTTTGGACAGAACCAGGTCACCAGCCCCTCTGAGACAGGGTTTGGACAGAGCCATGCCTCCAGCCCCTCTGATGCAGGTTTGGACAGAACCAGGCTTCCAGCCCCTCTGATGCAGGTTTGGACAGAACCAGGCTTCCAGCCCCTCTGATGCAGGGTTTGGAAGCAAAGCCCTTCCTGATGACCACCAACATTCCACTCCATTTCTTTTTCACGGGATGTGCTAAGAAACAAGATCCAATCACCACAGACTTTCTGGAATTAAACAACACATGTATCTACTAACAAAGTTACAGTTTTAAGGTATCAGATGATTAGCATTTTTGGAAATACTCCACAAATACACCAAGACACTTCTGTAGAAAACTGAGTTGATGCTTAGCAAAGAATAGGTAGCTAGCCTTCAAAAAAAATGAAAAAAAAAAAGAAATTTCTCAAGATTTGCATTTTATATTTAAGCCTCTCCCTGTGGGTATTAGAACACTGCTGGCTACCATTTAATGAGCCCCTAAACTGTCCATTTTAGTAACCGATTGGCAATCTATAAGCCAATATTTCTCTGAATACATCTGCGCATCTGTTAATACAGCTAAGAATATAAACCAACTATTCACTTCTCAAAAAACAATAACATTATCCCATAAAACTATCAAAAATAGCATGGCATAATCCTAACTTAAAAACACATGCCAACATGTACAGACACCCTCTCCACGCTGCTCCACCTTAAATGAAGTCTAAACAACGCATCTCAATCACTCATCACCTCACGAGGCCATTTGGAGACTGGGGGGGGGGTAGAGCTTAGCGATAGCGCACCTGCACGCAGAGGACCTGAGTTCAATTCCCAGGACCACGAAGGAAGTCTTTCAGCCCAATAGTCTGTCGATGGCACCCAAGACAGACTGCGGTGCCATGGGTAAGACAAATGTTCAGGCCAGGACAACCTGAGTTGTTCCTCAGTTCAACACAGGACAGGACAGGAAACGCCACAAAGTTGGGATCATGTAGCTAACGTGAATAACACCCAATTATTATACAACTGATAAGAAGCGCTTGGACAACGGCCCATGTCAATACATAGTTACCTGTCCTGGAAATTTTACTTTGTTTCAAATAACAAAAAAGAAAGGAAAGCAAGCAAGCCTACTTTAAGCGCTGAAAGTGAAATACCTCTTCCACGAAGCTGTCCTTCTTCTCCAGCATCTCCCGTAAGGTCTGGAGGATCTTAATGCACAGTTTCTCTTCTTTCTCCATCAGTCTCTTTGTGTGATTGATCAGCCTGAAAGCAAAACACGAACCCTTGAAAGGGACACCAGTCTCTCACCAAAATATATACAATATGCTACATGGGAATGGGGAATGGGGCTGAGGGCACAAAGTAAATCAGATACATAATGTCTCAAAACGATGCATCAGTTTATAGACTTGGCTGAGGTGTTTATGTCAGGGCTGCTCGGGTTCGGCATGCTCTTCAGAGTGTGTGATACTCTGAGAAGCAGGGAGACTAGCATTCTCCTTCCCATCACTTTGCTAATATAAAATATTTACAGCAGTCTGCGCCGCCCCGTCATTTATTATTTCCCATGCATTGTAGCGCATCAGTTATAACATCACACTGTAGTGAGCCTTCCCCCATTCTCTCAGTCTACCGCGTACGATATGACATTGCTTGGCAGATGTGAGAAGTTGCTGCGGTTGGCATCGTGACAGCTCGAACACTGCTGTAAACCAGACAGGAGCGTGCTCTTTCTCCTACAGTGGTGAAGCATGGGGTTCTAGAACCTTCTAGGATTCTCTGAACCGTGGGTGTAACCATCCCAGGAGTCGGCACTGAGTGTAACGTTTATAATCAGGACATGTAACTCAGTCCCCATAGATCGGGTTGTGCAGAAACTGAAGGGGATTACAGTTCCCCATGACACGGCCAGAGCTACGGGATATATCTCTCAATTTAGAACGAGTCCCATGGGATGCAACTGAGATGTCTCTCCCTCTAGCTAGGGCCTGGCTAATGTCCTCAGCCATCAGAGTGGAGGACCTCCTCATTGGCGAGAGGTATTTTTGTTGAGGCTGGTCCCCAACAGAAGGGGTAGAGTATGCATGGAGCATGAACAATAGTCAGCCTGAGCCTCTGGCCATGAACTATTAATAACAACGCAAGAGCCTTAGCCTCTGAAGCAGTGGGGCAACCCTTCCCTCTGCCTGGTGTAGGGTCTGCCAAATCACCCCGCTTCTTTTCTTTTGGTTTCTCTAATGCAGTCTGCCTCCATTTTCCAGGCCTCCCATCCCCCATGGGCATAGTCTAGACCTCTGCTGACCAGCAGGACTCTGCACTAACAGCAACATCCTGTCTGTGGTTTACAATGGGTAGACATTAGCCTCGTACAGCCACAGAGTAGCCTTGTACAGCCACAGAGTAGCCTCGTACAGCCATGGAGTAGCCTCGTACAGCCACAGAGTATCAGAGATGTAACCTGGGGGCAGGGGTGAGTTCTTATCTCATTTTAATTTATATGACTGTGTGTGGCTCATTTGTGCAGTGGAGTTTTCTGGAAAGGTTCAGAGGGTGGGGGCTCTGGATTTTGTAACCCACTAGGAGGGTGAGAAGCAGACCGCTAGAGGCCCTCTCTCTTCTCCACCAGCACCATCCCTGGTCTGGCTTCATTTACTTTGACATGAAGGCTCCGCATCTTATCCTGGCGTCGCTTCCCTCTGGGAAGAGCAGCTCCGGACTGTACAGCACATCCACAAGCACGGAGAACTCGGCCTGCATCATGGGGCTGAACTGCTGCTCCAGGGAGGCCACGACATCCTAAGACAGACACAGAGCCGTCACACTAGTGCCTTTCCAGACGTGACACGTGGCCACACCATCCTAAGACAGACACGGAGCCGTCACACGAGTGCCTTTCCAGACGTGACACGTGGCCACACCATCCTAAGACAGACACAGAGCCGTCACATGAGTGCCTTTCCAGATGTGACACACGTAAGAACATTAACCAGGACGGCGATGTGGGAGTTTCATCCAAGATGGACCCTGGTTACCCACACCACCAAATGTTTCCTGTTTACATGCTAGCCCAATCTGGTTTTATTCATTCATTATAGCACAAGGATAAAATGGGTTCATATGAGCCACTGTTCTTATCCAAAATGACTAAGTGGTGGTCACATAAGGGACAGAAATTGGGGTGCAGGTGTACAGCTGCACAGACCAGAGACACACAAGAAGCCAGCCATCCACAGTCAGGGACGGAGGTCTCAGAAAAAAAAAACAAGCCACTGATACCTAGATCTGGGACTTCTGCCTCCAGAATCCTAAAAGAGTGTATTTCTGTTTCTTAACGCATCCATCCTACGGTGTTTTAATGCAGCAGCACCAGAAAATGAAGGCCATCGGTCACTTGCTCACTAGGCCTAAACGTACAGGCCAGACCATGGATGTAGACTTGTAAAAGGACCTGGTGAAGAAAAGGACTGGCTCATTTGAACCCAAGGAATAGAAGTGAACGCGGGAAGATAAACTGAGTCAATATTATGAAAACTTAATTTATTGCATGTATCATTTATAGCACGTTATTTTTTACTAATTTTATTACTGACATAATTATCTTGAGATCAAAGGTCACTACTCACTAAGAAACTATCAGAATATATGTTATATAACTCGCTAAAAAGTAAGTCAGGACAATCTATCCAGAGACTACTAAAGAGAAGGTGGTGGCAAGGAGCTATGGAAGAAAGCTTTGCCCCAGTAAGACTTGATAATTTCAACCACGTTGTTTATATATAACACTGGGTAGTGGTGGCATACACTTTCAATCTCAGCACTAGGGAGGCAGAGGCAGGTGGATCTCTGTGCATTCAAGGCCAGCCTGGTCTACAAAGTGAGTTCCAGGACAGCCAGGGCTACACAGAGAAACCCAGTCTCAGAAAAAAACAAAGGCTGTATTATATGACACATTTTAAGAATAGAGAAGCTAGGAAATATTAATATTACTCATGTTCTCGTTGTACCTGTAACTTCTCGATGATATTCCTGTAATCCCACGCTGGCCCTCCGAGAGCTTCCTTGAAGCGAGGTCCAGAGCGGGCTGAGAGCCTCCAGCCCATGGCTGCTCTCTGCACCGTACTTGAATGGTTCTTCATGAAGAGTGTGTTCACCTGGCCATCCAAGTCGACGGGGATCGCAATCCCACGATTCTTGGCTGAAAGAGAAAGAAAAAACGTTGGGAAGCATTTCTCTCTGAATTGGGTTAAAGATTTTTAAACATGAGCAAAACTCACTAACAAATGTGGAAGAATTTTTTCTTTTAAGAAAGGAAGAAGAAAAGCCTAAATCTTTAAACTTTGCCCAGCAATTGTTTCGCATGCTTTCAGGTGAAAATGGCTGCTGAAATTATTTCAGTTCTTCAGACCAATTCATAATGTGCGACCACTGAGCCTTCAAGATCCTATCTGATTTCTTGTGATTAATGTGTGAGGTGGACTCCATTTCCACATCACACAGAAAAGCACCCTAACAAGCATGTAGATCTTTACCTTCCCAGATGCCAAAGAAAATAAAAACTCAGACAGAAAACACACAGCCAAGTCCTGCCAAGCTATTAACTCAATGAGAAGGTGTATGTGTGTGTTTACGTGTGTAGATGTGTGCCCACAAAGCTACATGTGATCAAGTATCTGACGGCAGAAATAGAGAAAAAGGTAAAGGGTATAAGAGAGCTTTCTTGGAAGGTGGTACGTGGTACCTGTCTTTTTTACTAAGATCCACCGACATATGCATTGTAACAGACGCATATCTTGATAATGCTGAGCACTCAGAATGCTTGTCATAAAGAAAACGGAAGGGTTATGGCATTTCTGTTGGACTGAGTAAAGAGGCAACCAGACCACTGGACAAAAACTGGCCCATGAAAGACTGGCCTTGGGTTCACTGGGGTCATCTGAGCTACTCAAGAAGCTACCTGAATCATGGGAGAGGAAGGCCCTCTTCCTCTGATTAGAAAACTAGAAAGTCTGATGTAGCTGTTTTCATCCAAAAAAAAGTCAGAGAAAAATAAAAACTCCTCTTAAGAAAGAAGAGTTTCTAACTGTAGGGTGCCCGTAATGAAGACTTGCAGATAAGAGTCCCTAACTGTAGAGTATCAAGGTGAAGACTTGCAGATAAGGGTCCCTAACTGTAGAGTACCAACAGTGAAGACTTGCAGAGAAGGGTCCCTAACTGTAGGGTGCCAACGGTGCAGACCTGCAGAGAAGGGTCTCTAACTGTAGGGTGCCAATGGTGCAGACTTGCAGAGAAAGGTCTCTAACTGTAGGGTGCCAATGGTGCAGACTTGCAGAGAAGGGTTCTTAACTGTAGAGTACCAGTGGTGAAGACTTGCAGAGAAGCAGGGCAGAGCTTGACATGACCCCAGAGATCATCAGACAAAGGGTATGTGAAGAGGTACAAGGGGGCAGCTCCAGCAGAGGGGGAAATGCATGGAGACTCCAGGCACCAAGCAAACCCCCCTTTAACACCCACTGCTGTTCCCTGCCTGTCTAATGAATGCACACACATGTGCACACACATGCATGGATGCATGAACACAAAGGGAAATTCCCATGTCATTTGTCCAGATCTTCTCATAGAATTCCAGGTCAACTTCCTTATTTCTGCAAGGATTATAGGCTAGGAATAGACCTTCCAAACTGCCAGCCCCCCCCCACACCCCTGTCTCAGTCATTACCCATGGCTACATAAAGTCCCAGGGATTGCAAATAAAACCATTAGTACTGAGAACAATGACCTCCTGTGAAAACAGATGATTCCAGGAAACACAAGCAAAACCGAATTCTAATTATCGTCCCTAGAAAATCTGAGTAGATGCCACACCTAAAAACTTGTAAACAGAGGGAAAAAAAGATCTTGGAAATTAAAATGTGATTGTAAAAATAAATCTATCAAAGACTAACCAAAAAAGAAAAGGATGGGAACAGCTGCCACCTCTGCTTCAGCCCTGCGTTCATCACCCATGCACGGGGCAGATGCATGAGGCGGCCCCCACCGTTGAGGGACAGCTGCTAAGAATACAGCAGATAGGGCTAGAGAGACGGCTGAGGGGTTCAGAGTACACACTTCCAGAGGGTCTGAGTTGAATTCTCAGAACCCAGGTTGCCCTCCCCTTGCCTCCGTGGTCTGTGCTCATGTGCACAAACACACACCCATGACACACACAGATACACATGATTTAAAACAACAATAAAAATATTACGACACAGGAAACACTGTGGCAACGCTTTTCTGACAACGTCCGTGGACACTTAGTTTAATGAGTCTGTGCCTGTGGGTGCCCACAGCAGCACGTGCCCACCCAGGACCCATCTATGAGCCGCTGCTCCACACCCTCTTCCATGAAGGCACCTGGAGGGAAAGCTGAAGAAACTCCACCAGCCCGGAGTGTCAGCTTTTTCTCTTCCCCAAGCTATATGGCTGTTTTAGGTCCAGGATCCTAACTTGATGTGAACTGTACCGTATGAACTCCAGGTAAAATAAGCCACTCTCCCAGGCCTGGGCGTGAACTGCAGCCAATGGTTAAACCAGGCCTGGGCGTGAACTGTAGCCAATGGTTAAACCAGGCCTGGGTGTGAACTGTAGCCAATGGTCAAACCAGGCCTGGGTGTGAACTGTAGCCATGGTCAAACCAGGCCTGGGTGTGAACTGTAGCCAATGGTTAAACCAGGCCTGGGTGTGAACTGTAGCCATGGTTAAACCAGGCCTGGGTGTGAACTGTAGCTATGGTTAAACCAGGACTGGATGCGAACTGTAGCCCACAGCTAAACCAGGCCTGGGTGTGATCTGTAGCCAAAGGTTAAACCAGGCCTGGGTGTGAACTGTAGCCCACAGCTAAACCAGGCCTGGATGCGAACTATAGCCATGGTTAAACCAGGCCTGGGTGTGAACTGTAGCCATGGCTAAATCGTGCCTTTGAAGCTATGAAAGAAGATTAACCCTGCAATTGACTAAAAGGCATTTGAGTTAAAATAAGCTAAGTGTCCACACAACAATGACAACCATTTGAAGGGTGGGAACACATCTCTGTGGGAGGAAACATGCCCAACATACACGAAGCTCTTGGTTTGTTCCCCAGTACCTCAAGACAAGAACAAATTAAATTTAAAAATTAACAAACTCTACAAACATGACCCAAAATAGGTCCTCTGTTCCGTCAAAATAATACAGGTATTAATTTGAAATCAAAACAGAAACTACTGAGTTAGATTCCCATAGCTTATTTAAAAGGCACCGGGAGTGGTGGTCAGAAAGGAGGGCTGGGATTAGGAAAAGCATTTGTTTTATCTCGTTTCCAAGAGCATTAGGTATGAAAACATCATTTTCAAGTCAAAACCACGATCAAAACTGAGTCAAAAGCCATCAAGCTAGAAACATTTTGGAAGCTGTGTTGTCCACACAGCTGGGTAAATCCCCACAGCTAACAGCAACACGCAGCCAGTGAGTCTGCTACGCCTGCCATTCTTCATGCCTACAGCGTGTGACAAGGTCATATGAAGGTTCTTATACTGAGGCGCTCCTCTTGGGCCTCTAAGTCAGAACCACTGCCTGGCTGAGGACATGTCTGCCGTCAGAGGACAGGCATCCGAGTCCCTGAGGAACGAGTGGGAGAGGAGGGGGCCACTGCCTGTGCACCTGGCTTTGGGGGGACCTCTGCCTTCTCATGAGTGAGCCACCTCTATCCACAGGTATTTTTAGTACATGGCAAACCTTCTAATTAGCCCTATAAATCCGGAAATTTCCAGGATATGACAAGTCTTTTCAGGGGCTTTAAGATAGAATCAAAATATATTTCTAATTATAATTCATTAAATATTGTGTGCTAGGTGAATGTTTTTAATTAGCAGAAACCACGGATGGTATCTGCCAGACCAAACCCTCTGAAAACACATACGGGTCCATGATAGGTGCCACGGGGAAAAATTCTTGGACGTGCACACTGACGGGTGTGGGGAAGGTGAGTGAGCACTAATTAGAAAACTGTGGTTGGCTGTCAGCCCATCCGAGCCAGAATGGCTGGAACTGTAGGACGAAGGTGTGGGTGGGAGCTGCACCCGTTCTCCAGCACACCCATGTCTGTGATAAATCCACGTGCGTGTGTGTGTGTGTGTATGTGTGTGTGTTCATCGGTGCAAGGGTCTGTATGTGCGCACATGCGTGTGTAGCGGTCAGAAGACAACTGTGTTTCCTCAGTCTCCACCTCCCTCTGGTAGGCAGGGTCTCTCACTAGCCTGGAATTTGGAGAGTAGCCTAGGTGAGCTGGCCAATAAGCCCCAGGGATCCACCGACCTCTGCCTCCCTGGTACTGGGATTCCAGGCACAGGCCACAATGTCACGGCACTTTTATATGGCTTTAGAGACTGAACTCGGTACATTTTGCACGTCCTTCACTCTCTGAGCTATTTCCCCAGCCCACTGGAGTGTTTACGCAGGGAGAACGTTGAACGTACGGATACATGCTTCCTTGTGAACTCAACTCTACCACATGGACACACGCCCCATTAATCCTCTACTTGAACAAAGCTATACTTCTTATGGCCACTCAGGAATGAGACTTGGAGGCCTGGCTAGTCACCTGGAAAGATAAACTTGAGTGGAGTCCATACAACGAAAGCTGTAAGTAAGTGCAGTGTATTCTAGGTATTCAAAGCCTCTCCCCCTCCCTCTCCCTCCCTTTTTCTCTCTGTCTCCCTCCCTCCCTCTCTCCTTCCATCCCTCCCCCTTTCTGCATCTTCCTCACTCTGTGAGACAGGAGAAACTCACAGTCTTTATGGCCTCCTTCAGCCTTCTTAGTACAGAGGGGAGCATTGCTCACCTCCAGGAAGCCCACGGCTTTTCACAACAACACCCAAAAGATGCAGACAAATCAAAATATGAAAATTCTCTGAGAATTAACAGCACCTCAGAGTGGCAAAAACTCTTCTGAGAATGAAATTAAACCTTCAAAGAAGCGGGCTGGGATAAGAGCTCAGGCAGCAAAGTGCATTGCTCGTTGAAACCCCTCCGCCAGAGCAAGCCTAGAATGGCGGTGTGCACCCAAAACCCCAGCACTGGAGAGACAGAGACAGGAGGAGCCCTGGGCTCCCTGGCCAGCCTGCCTCACCTACTTGGCAAGTTCCAGACCAATGGAGAACCCATCTAAAAGACAAGTTACTCTCTGAGCTAAACACACCTGCTCACACAGGAACATGTGCATAAGCTTCCACAAACTAAAAAGTCCCAGAAGAATTATAAATTCCTTATGCTAGAAAATAAAATTCCAATGACATTTTAAGAAAACTGGTCACCAAATAGTCAAAAGTCTCATTTCCCAACATGTAAGGGTTGAACTCAAAGCACAGGAAGGGCCCTGTTCACAGGAAAGGAAATACCAACAGCTCATTCCCTGTACATAGAAGAGAAAAACACATTAAAACTGTAACAATATGACGAAATCCAAACATGAAATTAAGGAGAAGGGTTCTCTTGCATGGCTGGTGGGTTAACAACACCCCTGGCAGAGCAGTTGTCACAACACAGAAGGTCCACTCTCAGCCATCAGCTCTCATGTGAGAGGTGACCGCAGACATCAGATGTTTAAAACAGGGTGAGGTCGGGTTAGCGCCACGCAAAGGCTGTTGAGCCACGGGGAAGTGCATTCATTTCTCGGCATCATACACTTTACTTTTGCAAACATCACAGACTGTGCTCTGAGTGCCAAGAAAGGCTTGAGAACTTTCTAACAGGTAAGCTGACAAGTTGTATCTACTCTAGAAATTCCCTGGGGGCGAAGTATGTTTGATAGAGTGGATTTGCTTCAGCTGAATCCTTCCAGATAGTGAGGAATCACTAAACAATCAGTTAAACTAATAAGTGAAAAGTGTTTATAAAATAGTATGCTATATTATAACTTATTGCAACTAGTTGTTTTATAAAACAGTGGATTTGAAGAAGGTTATTTTGTTTTGGTTCAGCATTTGCTTTTCTGGGGCCTCTCTTTTGCATTGTTCAGGATGGAAGCCAGGGACCTGCACACAGGAGGTAGCTAAGGGGTAGCCTGAGCTACTAATGAAGATGTAAAACCATAATCACAAGACTACATGACGTCAAACCCCTTAGACTCCCACTACAATGCCCCCAGCAAATTCAAATAGACATTTATTTAATACAGACTCTCTAAAGGGTTAACGGGTTTACATTTCTTTCATTTTGAGAACGACTGGCTTGAAGTTTGTGTTCATTAGGCAAAGCATTTATAAGAGACATTTCCTGCAATTTCCTTGTGGAAAATCAATACTGTGGCCAAACAGCCACCTAATATGAATCCCCCCAGAACACAGGCCAATGATGAAGTGCATAGGCAGAATTCTTTTCTAAGTAAAATTATATGGAAGTCATTCGTAGATGTGTTTGCTGGAAGCGTTTCTGTCACATGTTTTACAGGAACAGGTAAACTGAGGAAAGGCACCTAACCCTGCGTGTCTTGACATTCCTCAGCACTCGGCAAGCCCTTACTGCTCTCGGGGAGGGAAGGGCCGACAGAGTGAGTGGTCCTCCTGTCTTCTTACCACCTCCTGCATTCAGTGCACACGAGCAGAAGAGGATGAAGTGGTTTGGACGAGAGACAGGTTGAGCTAATAGTACCAGAGAGCACTTGAGAAGCAGGTGTTTCACACAGGTAAACTATAATTGATATTTGCATGTATAAGGAATGTGTTTGCCAATTCATAAATTCATCAAAATGCATCCCCGACCTTGTGATATTTTACACATAGATTATTCTGTATTCTCTTAAATATCAAATATTCTTAAATGTCGAAGCTGTGCCAAATTTCACAGAGTGTAAGACAGAGAGGCCAACAGAAAGGAAGATGAAAGCCAGCCTCGTGGAGATAAAAGAGACACCAAGCCAAAGCATCACTCCCCATTATTTCTTCTGCTGCAGATTTGGGTAGAATCATCACCACATGTGTTCTTTTAACACAGAGAAAGAAATCAAGCTTTGTTTGTTTGTTTGTTTGTTTGTTTTCTGAAAAACCATTCAGCTTTGGCTAGTGCAGAAAAGGATTAGGCCGGTGTATTTGGGTGACAACTTTAGGCCAACAACTCTGCTGTCGCACCGTGAAAGAACTGATTTGACCGCACACTGAATCCTCTGGGCTCGGATTTAAGGTAAGCACAAATGAAATCCCCCAGCTCCCATTCATTCATTCATCCTTCATTAGTTCCTTTGTTTGCAACAGGGCTCTCTATGTCTCCTTGAACTTGTAATCCTCCTGCATCACCGTCCTAGGCAGCGAGGATTACAGGTGTACCCTGCTCCCATGCCTGATTTTGTCTGCAATTTCTAAGTGCTATGCAAAAAACACTCTAAGTACTAGGGAGGCCAAGTGGTCTCAGCTCCCATTGCATTTGCTGAAGGCTAAAGGGGGAAGGAGAGAGAGGAAGGGAGAGAAGGAAGCAAACCCGAGAAATATCTGGAGGGAAGGCCGTATGCTGTGTGAAAGGTAAGACTATTTGCTTCTCCTTTCGATGCAGGGAAACAACAAAGAGACCTTGTCTCAAATAAGGTTGAAGGCAAGGAATAGCTATGAGGTTGATGTAGGTGGGTCTTCTATCTATCTGTTGCTTTCATTGGTTAATTAATAAAGAAACTGCTTGGCCTGATAGGTCAGAACATAGGTAGGTGGAGTAGACAGAACAGAAGAAGGGAGATGCCATGGAGCCAGCCGCCAGGTCAGACATGCTGAATCTTTTCCGGTAAGCCACCACCTCATGGTGCTACACAGATTACTAAATATGGGTTAAAGCAAGATGTGAGAATTAGCCAATAAGAGGCTAGAACTAATAGGCCAGGCAGTGTTTAAAAGAATACAGTTTCCATGTAACTATTTTGGGTAAAGCTAGCCGGTGGCCAGGATCCGGGCAGTGGGAAGCAGCCCGAAGCTCCTTCTACATGAGGTTGTCCACTGACCTTGACATATGAACCATATATGCATTTGCCTGCATTCACACACACATAATGTCCATAAAAATACCTATTACGCATAAAAATTATGTAATAATTAACACAAAACTACATACAGGCTTGACTTTACACGTCGGGAAGCATCTATGAGAATTCTAATCCTCACTTCCCCTTAGTTTAAATCCCTGGCCTGATGGAGGAAGGTCATTGGTTAATTAATGAAGAAACTGCTTGGCCCTGATGGGTTAGAACATGGGTGGGTGGAATAAACAGAACAGAATGCTGGGAAGAAGAGGAAGTGAGCTCAGATGCCAGGCCACTCCTCTCTGGGGCAGACACAATGAAGCTCTGACCCAGGATGGACATAGGCTAGAATCTTCCCGGTAAGCGCACCTTGGGGTGCTTACAGACATTATTAGAAATGGGCTAGTCTAGGTGCGAGAGTTAGCCGAGAAGAGGCTAGGTATAATGGGCCAAGCAGTGTTTAAAAGAATACAATTTGTGTGTTGTTATTTTGGGGCATAAGCTAGCCAGGCGGCCAGGAGCCGGGCTGTGGGAAGAGGCCCGCAGCTCTTACTACACTGGCCTGTAGTGATGTTTTGTTTGTGTTTTAACAGATAAAACTTGCCTGAAAATCAAAGTACAGAGCTAAGTGACTAGAGGCCAGACAGTGGTGGCACACACCTTTAATTCCAGGACTTGGGAGACAGAGGCAGAGGAATCTCTGTAGTTCAAGGCCACCCTGGACTACAAGGTTGAATCTCTCTAAAAGAGAAACAGAGCTCACACACAGGTGGTCTCAGCACTTGGGATCCCATGTCTTTAATCCCAGCACTAGGGAGGTGGAGACAGGAGTGATTTGGCTGGACAGAGAGAGAAATATAAGGTGAGAGGAGACAGGAACTCAGTGTGGTCTGAGGATCGTCCCTGCAGTCTGAGGACAGGATCACCCTTTTAGTCTGAGCACTGATAGAGGGAAAAGGTCTCTCTAGTGGCTGGCCTCACTGCTTCTCTTACCCTTCAGCTTTCAACCCCTGATATCCAACTCTGGGTTTTACGTATTAAGAACAATTAAAATTTATGTCACACTTGTCTCCGTCTCGTTATTAATGCTGACACCGCGGCGTGTAATAGGCCTTTGAACATACAGATTCCACACAAACTAGAATGTTAAAAACAAACAAACATGGCGCACGCCTTTAATCCCAGCACTCGGGAGGCAGAGGCAGGCGGATCTGTGTGAGTTCGAGGCCAGCCTGGTCTACAAGAGCTAGTTCCAGGAAAGCCACCAAAGCGACACAGAAATCCTGTCTCGAAAAAAAAACAAACAAAAAACAAAGAAACAAAAAAGCCTATTGCCATAAGAAATTCTTAACAACATCGGATTCTCACTAATAAATAAGATGATTCCACAATTAAAAGTAAGATAATCAAAAAAATAAAATTAATCTATGATTTAAAAAAAAAAGTAAGATAATCAGTTAAGCCATTCTTACAAAATCTCACTAAGCCATATTTTAAATATAATACCCCTTTTAAATTTGGAAATTTGAATATACTTTTCTTCCAAAACTCTGCTGTGTTGAGAATCAGTTGCTGAATACTGGCCTCTCTCTTAAACAAAAGAACAACCTGACTTTATTTGTTTGTGAGGTTCTAGACTGGAAAGCTGCCTGTGTAGCTCGTAGCCACAAACCGGTAACTTCAGGAAACGTGCAACTGAGGCAAACCAGACCCCTGACTTACCCACTTCAGCGAGCGCTCGGATGCAGGACTCCACCGAGGCCTTCTGGGCCGGGTTGGGCCAGGTGCAGTTGTAAATTCTGAAGGCGGATTGCAGCAGCTGGATAAAGACGGGCTGGTGGGTCTGAAAACAGAAGGAAAGTGGTCATTCTATGTCATTAGGCCACAGTCCCTAAGCCACTAACATGCCTGAGGAGCTACACCTTATCAGACAGTGACACAGTGTTGTGTGCTCCAAAGCCACTCACAAACACCTGACCACACAAAATGTCTTGTGTATCAATAGCATCAGAGGAAACATGCCAGACAATACAGAAGATTGGTCACTTGTGTTTCTACTATAATCGTGTGTGTGTGTGTGTATACATGCATGTGTGCGCTTATGTATGTGCGTGTGTGCACACACACGTGTGTGAGTGCATGTGTGCATGTGCTTGCACGCGCGTGTATAGGCCAGAGCTGACCTCAGCCATCTTCCTCTGCCATTCTCCACTTTATTCTGGTTTCTCACTGAATCTGACGCTGTGTCAGCTAGACCTGCCAGGTCACTAAGCTGCAGGGTGTCCCTGTCTCTGACCCTGCAGGGGCCCACTACCACATCCAGTGGAGAGAAAGCCGAGGTTTACACCTTCAAGATGTTGTCCCTCACGGCAACAGACACCAAAAGAGACATCAGACCTCAGACATGCGGAAACCCATTACATAAAACCGTGTGTGTGTGTGTGTGTGTGTGTGTGTGTATCCAACTTATAATTCCTTTAAAAAAGTAAGGATTGTGCAAAGAGCTGTTATGGTGCATGTAGAGACTAGTGAACAAAACTGTCCATGTTCTGGGCACTTTTCCCTGATATCGTTGACTGAAGGACAGCAGGATCTGCTGGGAACTCATGGAACACGGGGTTAAGCAATTGTGTTCTCCACACAGACGAAACTAGAGGACACTCAGTGCGACCCTGTGGTGGTATGCGAGCTGAGCGCCATCTTTCTTAGTCATGAATTTTCCTTGTGAAGCACACATTTTAATAAGATGCCCTACAGATATGCTGTAACGTATCTGGCGCTTTCCTCATTTGTGGACATTTAAGGATAGAAAGCACAAGTGTTTTTAAGTATTTATGAAGACTTGAAAACTTCAATGTTTTTACCTTTAGGATAAATTACTAACAGGCGGCAGCGGCCCAGGTCCGACCCATCCGAACAATTGGCCATTATTTCAGCACTTAGTCCTTTGCCTACAGATGTGAAATGCCTTGGAGTACTTAGCAGGAGGACAATGACTCAATTTTAGGAGGCGGTCTCTCGATGTAAAATGAAGTTGGGGTTCGGGGAGGGACCACCAAGTGGGAGAGGTCGTGGGAGGACATGGAGGGTCTCTGATCTTTCATCTGATTAAATGATGTATAAACTGGATTGTGTGCTAAGATATAAGTATTAAAGTGGGTCAGAACAGGCAAAACTATAAAAGCTAAGAGACACTAAAATGAATGGAAAACACACAGGAAACACTGGGACCAAAAGAAGGGAGGAGAGAGAAGGTGTGAGAAAACATAACAACGTACACACAAAAAAATGCCACCATGAAACCCATTCCTCCTTCTTATTATGAATAAGTTAATACGAAAATAAAGTTTGGTCAAGTCAGAAAGGGGATGATGCTAAGTAATACAAAAGACAAGTGTTTCTCCGGAGAGTCAGAAAGGACAACCGAGCCAGTTAGTTTCCCCGGCACTGGGTTCAGTTACCTGCAGGCTGGTACTGTTGTCTGAGAAAGGCGAGTTGAAGAAGCCGCTCACAATGTTCATGACTGACTCCGTCACACATCTCTCCAGGAAGGTGTCTGCGTGCTTCCTGTCGGTGGTGGTGTTACAGACCTGGAGAGAAAGCCAAGTCTCTGCATTATGAGTCGGTAGTGGAACCTTCTCAACATTACCCTCCGAGAGTTCTCCACAGCCATTTCTGTGCTCGGTGACGCTGTTACATGGTTTCTGACCAAATCCGCTAAAACACCAGTCCACGGCAGCTTCCCCTTAAGTCTCTCCGTCATTTCAACCTCCGCTGTCCCTTCAGTCCCCAGGCCCTGTGTTAACTTGTTTTCTTTATTTTTCCAGGCCAACCTCCCCCTTAGTCCCCAAACTTGATTTTGACGAAAACCACTCCCACTCCCTGAGAGGAAGCCAAAAAGTTAAAAGCCGTCATGAGTACAAAGGGATGAGAAGAATTCGTGGTGACTTGTGTCGACATGCATTTTCCCTTAAAGTACCTGGACCCATGTGAAGAGGTGTGGGTACCATCTGAGGGATGTTGAGATCTGCATGTGGGATGTCCTCTGCAGGCCCATGGGTCCCCAGTCAGTGGAACTATTTTAAATAATGAAGAGATGTGCCCAACATTTCACATGTTGGCGGGACACTGTCTTATACAAAGTTTACCCTACGCATCTGTTATCAACTTACAAAAGATCTCGTGTCTTATGACTTTTGTATTCACAGCTTATCTTCTGTGGATTGTAGCCCAGTGGCCACGGGTCAGATATGCCTGGGAAGTAGAGCCTTGCTGAGGAAGCAACTTGCTCACTGTTGTCTGGGCATTGAGGCTAAAAGCCCCACCCACCTCACTTCCTGTTTGATCATGGAGAGGAGCCCCAGTTGCACAGGTCTGACAATCTTCAGTCACCTGCTGCTATCTCTTCCCCTCCTGTAGACTGTACCCTCAAACTGTGAACTGAAGTAAGTCCCCACACTCAAGCATCTTCTCGGGCATCTCATCACAGAAACAGAAAAGAGAGGAAAATGGAAGCATAGATCTAAAGTCTTTCCACACTCTCTTCTCCAAGGCCCTGGGCAGGACAGGTTGAGGCCCAGACCAGCCCTGGAGCTGGGGGCCTAAGCAGTCTGCTGCCCCTGCCCTTTTCCTGAGCTGTATTTCCAAGTCGGGCCGACGAATTGCGAAAGCTAAGAGTTGTGATTGAAAACACACAGGAAGTATGGACACAGAGAGAGCGGGAGTGGAGGGTGGGAGGGAAGACTAGAAACCGAGGCAGGCAAAGAAAACAAATAGAACAAAGGGTGAGAGGCCAGGGATGGGGGCCATCTGCTCCAGATGTCCTTGGGCAACAGAATTTCTCTGTGATGTCTGACTTTTCAATAAGGGACTTCATCAAAAGAACAAGTGGATGTGGTTTAATTTGATACCACTCTAAAACTTTTTACACAATTCCATAAAAGAGGAAACTTCCCTTCTCAAACCATGTGTCTCAGAGCCTCTGCCTGGGAGAACGGGGCTGTTATTACCAGAATTAAATGTGTGGAGGGGAGGGGAGCAGAGCAGGGTTCGTGTCCTAAACCCCTTTCCATATGTGTAGTTCATTTTCCCTTCCCCCCAAAACAACACACACTTATATAACATTCTCTGAACAGAAAGGGCTTCAGTATAACTCACAGTGTCAGGCTATTGGGGACACCGTACGATTTAAAGGGAACAAATTTGTCTAATTATGGAATTCTGCCATTGTCTTAGCAACAGCTCCTGTATGAACAAGATGTTCAAGGCAGTCCTACCACAGAGGCTATACCCCTTGACCGCAGTGAAAAGTACATATATA